CGAAAAAATATTATTTAGAATAAATAATCTTAACCAATTTGTAGAATATGTCACAAGGTTTTCGTACATATAAAGAGCGTCGAAATCGGAGTTATAACGAAGAAGTTATGACCCGTCGAAGTTTCGCGACGGAACCGGCACGGCACTGGGAAGCGTAAATAGTGATTTTACAATGGAGGACTTTTTAGCCTTAGTGATCTAAACGAAAGTCGTATAATATGTTAAACCGAGAAAATCCATAAAAAGAACGCCCAAATCTGACTTCGTATGAAGAAGTTATGATTTTTCTAAGATTCGGCTTAGTAGTGCACGACCTGAAACTCGAATTTTAGTTCGAGCGGTTTTTGGCTTATGTGACTTAAATGAGAGTTGAATATCTCATTAATAGGAACTTAACAGTAAAAAGACAGATGAAAACAGAGTCCGTATGAAGGAGTTACGAATTCTTCGCGATCATTTAACAGTCTAAACGCCTCGTACTGTTAAATTTAAGATCGGTCGAGAATTAGCCAATGGAGTCAAAATGAAAGTTGTAGATATTATTTTTACCTACGCGTGGATATAAAGAATGTCAAAAACGGAGGTTGTATGTGAAAGTTATGGATTTTAGAAGTTGGAAGTGTGTTGTGCGAAATTGGGTGATGTGGCACAATCTTGGCCACTGCTTTCTCTCCAAGTCTTGCCACTAGATGGTGACATGTGGCACCAAGTTCATCCATTTTCACCCTATAAATAGAACCTCTCCCACCCTCATTTTCTTCACACCTTTCTCATTCTTTCTTCTCTTTACTCTCTCTCTAGAACCTCTCTCTAGCCCTGAAACCCCCCGAAAAGCCTAGGGAACCTCCCTAGCACAAGGCGGGAGCCCCTGAGTGCTCGACGGCTCCGAGAAGAAGAGATTTTCCGCATGGGAATGCTGCTCCAAGCAAAGCCTCGTTTTCTATAAAACCCGTTGTAACTGAGCTACGCCTACGTTATTTTTAATATAGTTTTTATCTAATTATATTAACGTTATTAAGAAGATATAATAAGTAATTGGACTATTATTATGGGTTATATAAGTATTATTTAACGGTTATATCATAGTAATAATAGCTAGAGTATTAATTAGTCTCGGTGAATAATAGACTAAACTCTAGTGGTAATAATACTAGGTTTCGTCGAAGGATTTTTTTTTTTTTCAAGAAGTGAAGCGTTGTCTGAATTCGGAATCACCACCTTTTCAAGTGAGTGCATAGTTACTTTCATCTTACACATAGATATGAAGTATTTTATATAAACTACGTGCTATGTGTGCATATTATCTGTATACTTGCTGTCTATGTTGGATGAACGTTTTTATACATGTTTTAGATGATTTAAACTGTATACGTATTTTATATACACGAATATGTTGGGTATGATACGGGTAGATGAATGATGAGAGACAAAAGATGATGTGAGTAAACATTGGCAGCTATAGACTTAGTGCCTAACTAATAAACATCAGCAGCTACGGACTTAGTGCCTATTGGACAAACACCGGTAGCTATGGATTTAGTACCTTTTAAGGAATTGGTAGCTATGGACTTAGTACCTATTAGATAAACATTGGTAGTTATGGATTTAGTACCCGATGAATAGACTATAGCAGCTATGGAATTAGTGTTTTATGAACGAACATTGGCAACTATGGATTTAGTGCCAGTCCTATAACCCTGGAAGTAAGGGACTTCGGAATAAACGAATGCAGAATAGATGACTCTTAGGATAAATCCTTAAGAGTAAAGAAGATAATGGGGATGGGTAATTGGGTTGATTGTTTGATTGTTTAAACATAATAATTATATTATTGTGGATTGAAAACCTTATGTACTCACCAGGTTTCCCAACCTGATCCACTCAGTTTATTTATATCACAGGTGTTGATATGAAGTCACATTACACTGAGAGATTAAAGAGATGTAGATCACTAGTGTAAATAAATGTAAGTTCTGTTTATGCTTATGTTCCTGTATTGACAATGACATCTCAAACGTTTTAAAATGAATAAAATACGTTTCTTCGAAAATGTTTTAATAACGTATTTATCGTGTTTTTCTGGGAACGAATTCCGCAACATTTTTATTAAAAAAAGAACTCTGATTTTTATAAAGTATAAACAAAATCGGTCTTTTCTGGCCGTGAAAATGGGGATGTCACATTGACTGAGGACTGTGACTTGGACCAAGGGTTGACCAGTTTGACTTCCACGGGTATGTTGGTAATTAATGGTGTTTATTGGTTTTGGTTATTTGGTAATGATCAGTGGTGGAGTTCGTGCCGGTGGTCGGAGCAGCGTGGTCTTATTTCTTCAAGTCGGCAGTTGCAGGTGAGTTATCCTCACTATATCGACAGGGTGTAAGGCACCAAGGCCGACCCTTTATCAGATGGAAATCCGGGTAGTTGTTATGTTATTCCTTTGCTATATGTTTGCATCCTGGTAGTTAGGATGGTATATGTTAGAGACCTGGTTAAGGTCGAAATCCTGGTATATAGGATGATGCTATATTAGTGACTGGTTAGGTCGGTATCCTGGTTAGAGTGTGCTATGTATGTGATCTGTTAGATCGGTTGATTAGTGATGAATTGCTATATGATTATATGTTTATGTGCACATGGTTGACTGGGGTTAGGTTGAGGCTGGTCCTGCTTTGTGCTGTAGGCCAACATACCCAGGGCGGACCGGATATCCCGAAGGCCCAGCGAGCGGTCCGGATAGACTGTAGGCCCCATAAGGGCGGACCGGATGTGCCGACGCTCGGAGAGTGGACCAGGCCGACTGAAGGCCCGGTGCGGGCGGACCAGTCATACTGTAGACTCAGAGAGTGGACCAGGTGGGTTGAAGGCCCGGTGCGGGCGGACTAACCACACTGCAGACTCGATGTATATGGCTAGACTCGGAGGGTGGACCAGGTGGACTGAAGGCCCGGTGCGGCGGACTAGTCACACAGTAGACCCGAAGTGCATGGCTGTTCCGTTTATGATATGATATGTTATGTGTATGGTATATGTGGTTGGTATTTTAAGGGTAACTCACTAAGCTTTCGGGCTTACAGTTCTCAGTGTATTGTTTCAGGTACTTCAGGAGATCGTGGCAAGGCGAAGGCGTGATCATACCGCTCATTGTGTTATATGTATTTATGATGTGGTTGTGGGAAATAATCTGATAATCAATGAATTGAAAACCTTTTTGTAATGAATTAATGAATATGGGTTGTTTTTGAAAAGTTTAAATTGGTTGAAATTTTTTGGATGTTACACATAAAACATATAATTTTCTTTCTAATGAAATGTATGTTTTAATACAGTGTGAGGATAGACCTAAAATCAAATGATATATAGATTTATTAAGCTAATATGATAAATTTCCATTGAATCTCCATGATTACCCAGGTAAGAAGTGATTTTCATCATAGAAAAATTTACAAACACCCTTATATCATGTCGCAGCTCTACGAATTTTTTGACTGATTCCTACTAACCATTTGTTACTAAGGATGCAAGCAATTTCTAGTGTCAGGAATGTTTTCCATGATAAGTAAAGCATACATGTCAGCAGACATGTATTCAAGTGCAGAACAAGGAATTGGAAATAAAGAAGAGTAATATAATGCTACAAAAACTAAACCTGCTATGGTGCGAAAGCTCATTCAAAGAAGAAACATGTCCATCAGGAAACCCAACATCGAACATAAATTCTCGTAAATCGTTGCAGAGATCTGCATTGGTCCTCGTCGGTTTCCTGCTGGCAACTCTAAAGCACAAAATTCGTTTAACGAACCTCGAATTAGGTAAAAAAATCAACACGAACAAATACATACAGAGACACATGCAATTGAAAATGAAGCAACAAATTGCAAACCTTGTTTCATTCGGTGACGAAGCACAATCTGTGATGAGGAGGCACCGGTGGTGACGGACGCCGAACTGACAAAGGCGAGGTTCTGGAGCGGCGGTTAAGAGGAGTTTGTAAGAAGGGAGGAAGAAGTGAGAGTGAGTGAAGTGCAGGTGTGTCGCGATAATGGAGACTCAGGCATGAATTAGATCAATTGATCCATGGAACGAAATCGATCAATTGAAACGTGATATATGCATAAAGCAAGGTAGAGAATTCAGAACTTTGAAACCTGATATATGCCCTAGCTGTCATTTTTGGATCTTAGGAACCGAACAAAAACTAGAAAATTCAATGATCATAAGAAAATTACCTTCACCGTGTGATTAATGATGAATTGTTAATGGTCGACGGAGAGGGAAGGAGGCTGATGTGGAAGATCTTTGACTGGAAGAATAGTAGACCGATGTAGGGAGGAAGGAGAAGAGATCGTCAATTTGTAGGAGAAGATGGCGATGGTGTAGGTCTTACAAGAGGTGATGGCGATGATGTGGTTTCTAGGGGAGATTGACGAACTCCATGGCAGTCATGTAAGGGTTGATAGAGAAATCATCCACCAGAAGGTATCATCTTCAAAACTCAGAACAAGGCGTTTGGATGACTTTCTCTAAACAGAGTCAATATTTATATCCCTAAAATACCCCCAATTCAATTTTGTTTCAGTACCCCCGTTCATTTACTTTCTCATTTATTTACAAAAATGTCACAAAGCATCTTGATCATCTTTTTTTTTTGATCTAACGAATAACTTTTAGTTATCGGGATACTATGAGTTCTCAAATGATCATTTTTTTTTTTTTTCTCTCTCTCTCTCTCTCTCTATATATATATATATATATATATATATAAATATATATATATATATATATATATATATATATATATATAAATATATATATAATATATATATATATATTATATATATATATATATATAATATATATATATATATATATTATATATATATATATATATATATATATATATATATATATATATATATATACACACACTAGAAGAAAGGGACTCAGATTATTGAGAATATGAACTCTTTTTTTCCTTAAATCAAAATCCAACCACACATAATTAAGCCAAAAAAACAGCAAAGAGCATACAATATAATTATAATTATTGTTTGAAAAATCAAGAATGTAATTGCACCACCAGCCACATGGCTACAGCTGATTGGGTGGAGGCGGCCCTCCTTACAAGGCCAATAATTGATCATTCTCCTAATCCACTCTGGATTCTTGCTGGCAACCCTCCGCCCCCTCTCCCCTTCAAAATCCCTTAAACCCTAATCTTCTCATAAAATCACCAACACCTGAAGGCATTTTTTTCACTACAATTAATCCCCAAACTCCAATGCCCTAGAAAACCCCACTTCAAAAAATATGGCAAACATTCTTCTTCAACAACTTTTCATTAGCGCCCTTTTCACTCTCTCACTTTCAACTCATTTCTGTCTCTCATCCTCTAAACAATCGGCAACTATCTACGATATCCTTAGATCAAACGGATTACCAATGGGTTTGTTACCGAAAGGCATCACCAATTTCACTTTTGACGATTCGGGTCGGTTTGAGGTTCACTTGGATCAAGCTTGTAATTCCAAGTTCGAGAATGAATTTCACTACGATCGGAATGTTTCCGGCACGTTGACTTATGGCCAGATCGACGGAGTCTCGGGTATTTCAGCCCAGGATTTGTTCATGTGGTTTACCGTTAAGGAAATCCGGGTCGATATTCCCAGTACCGGTTTGATATATTTTGATGTGGGTGTGGTGCATAAACAGTTTTCTTTGTCGTCGTTTGATACACCAAGGGATTGTTTGGTTTCTACTATATCTGTTGATAATCAGCTCATCATTCAAAGTGTGCCTAAGGTAAAAAGAATTAACTTTTCTTTGACTTTCTTCTAATTTGGACTTTTTTTGCTATAGAGTTTGATACTTTGACCACCGATTACAATGTATTTCAAGAACTTGAAATCTGGGTTGTGTAATATGTTCAATTTTGAAATGGGTTTTAATTAAAGCTTTGACTTTGTTTTTTTCAATGCCATGCTCTTGATTTTCTTGATTAGAATTGGGTTTTGAAAGAATCTTTAAAACATCTTTTATTTTTTTCTAATAATCAACCAATTGCCTAATCAAAAGCTTGATTTGACTTGGCATTCGAAATTTGAAAGCTTACGAATTGCACTTGAAGTAAAATTCTTATCATGTTTCTGATTTTCAGAGGCTATCAAGAAAACTCCGGACCCCAAATCACCACCTTCAAGAAGATTTAATGGCAGTTTTGTGAATTTGAAGTTGTTGGCTGCATAACGATGATTAAATTTAAAAATGGCACAACAGCTCAAATCAAGTTATGGGTATTTCCGTTCCTTGTATGTACATGTTTTTTTTAGAAGATCCGAAGATCTTGTGGTGTTCTTGGTTTTGGGTGTTCTTTATATATATAATAGTATAGAGTCTGCAAACAAGTCGCAAATCGACATTTTTGAAAGGATATGAAGAACACAATGCAGAAGAAAGTGAAATTTCAAAGTATACATATTGGAGCAAGGGATCAAAGGTTGTATATCAGGTGATCATACGAGTTTATTTTAATTCATATTTAAAATCATAAAACCATTCGTTCATGTATGAATTCTGTTTTTGTAATGTTAAGTGCTAAGTCATACCTACTTCTTGATCGAATAAATAAGAAATATATTGGAGTATATATATTTTGTTTACATCATCAACCATTTACTACATGTTTCTTTACTTATGATGTAAAAGTATTTAATGCATGAGTGATGTGAAATTTATGTAGAAAATTGTTGTGATGTAGAATTAGAGCTTAAAAGTGGGTGGTTAGTAGATATACTCACCTACTTGTGGCTTGCCAATTGTTGATTGTTTACTATATTTGTAGGTATCCACACAATTGGTTGTTGCTTCAGGTGCAACTCTACTTTCAAATTATATAAATAAGGGGACGGAAAAGTATATTTGAGATTTTATTTAGTAAAACAAATTGCAATTGAAGTTTAAGTTTAAGTACAATAACAATATTTATTTATGTTGTTTTTGTAATATCTCACAATAAAGATACGTTAACTGGTTTATGGTCTTGATATTCTTATGTAAATCTCATTATGATTGTTGTCAAAAGAAAGGAAATTATGTACACCAAAAGTAACAATCGGGTACCATTAATGATTAGCGATTTAGCATGCACCACTAACACATGATAATTAGTGTGCTTAATGTAATTATTTAATTTACTGGAGTAACTTTATGAAGTGTGTTTGATTGTAATCATGAATATTATTTCACAAATTTAGATTGTTAAAGTACACTTAACCTTTTTTTGGTGTAATATTAATATATTATTCGGTACTTTGGACAGTTAAAAGTCTATTTAAATTTGTGAAACAAATCAATAACCATTAGTTTAGTATTATCCATACAATAGAGATATTTATTTTTTGTTTGATTTTTTGATTTAGAACAAACCTCAACTACATTAACAGTTGCTGGTGGGTGTTTGACTAGTGATTTTGAGGGAGGTGTTCATAACATATTAACAGTCGATGGTTTAGGTTTTTGGTGGGAGCTAATGTAAAAGTAAGGGGTGATGAAAGAAAATGGGGTTATACCGGTCGGATTAATTGATGGGTCATGGGTGGGTCATTTTTAAGTGCATTAAAATGGGAAGTTTTCTACTGTTGTCCATGTGATATGTTATTATATGTTCCATCGTATCATAAAATAAACTTTGTCAAGTTTGCAATTTTTTTAAGTTTTTATCTTAACTATGTTTTGTTTTCTTCATATCATATGTATTAATACATAAATATGTATTTTTATATATTTATACGCTAAAAGTTGTTTAATTAAACATCATATTTATGTTTTCTTTTTAAAAATGCTATTTCTTTATATATGTTTTTTTTTGTCTATTCATATGGTTTAAAACATATTTATAACTCTAAAGACGTACAAATGTATTTTTACTTCTAAAAAAACATAAAAATACGTATTTATGTTTTTATAAAATGGTGAAAAAACCAAATTCTTAAAAATATTTTTCTACGGTTTTAGAAGTATGAATACATTTTTACATATTTTTTATATTTTTAGAATTTAAATACCTATTTTTAAAACATGTTTATACTTTTAAAGACGTAAGTTTTTGTTACTTCTAAAGACAAAAAAAATGTTTATTTTAACTTCAAAAAACATAAAATTATGTATTTATACTTGTAAATAGTTTATATTTCGCTTCTAAAATATATTTCTACTTCTAATAAACATATATATATATATATATATATATATATATATATATATATATATATATATATATATATATATATATATATATACTTCAAAAAATATAATTTGTATCTTCTAAAAAGGCAAAAAAATATGTAAAAATATATTTTTACTTCTAAATTACATAACAAAACGATTTTAATAATGTTACTTTTTCACCATTTTATAAAAATGTAAATAAGTATTTTTTATGTTTTAGATGTATAAATAGGCAAAAAAAATGTATATAAAAATAGCATTTAAAAAAACATAAATACAATTTTATTTAAATATTGTTTTAGTATATATATATATATATATATATATATATATATATATATATATATATATATATATATATATATATATATATATATATATATATATATGGAAGGGTTATATGAAAACAACAAAACCTAAAAAACCCTAAAAATCATAAAAATACATAAAAGAAATACTTAGAGATCTTTTTTTATTTTATTTTATTTTATTTTATTTTGTATACTTAAAAGTCGTAGGTTTTATTATAAATTATCTGGAAAAAAAATTAAAAAATCGATTTTTTTTTTCAAAAAAAAGTTTCAATGAATTTATAATAAAACCTACGATTTTTATGAATATAAACTAAAAAAAAGATTTGTGATATCTAATTATTTTTTTATACATTTTTAGGGGTTTTTTTCCATAGAATCTTTCTTTCTCTCTCTCTCTCTCTCTCTATATATATATATATATATATATATATATATATATATATATATATATATATATATATATATATATATATATATATAGAGAGAGAGAGAGAGAGAGAGAGTTAAGTGTGCCATCCATACTCTATTCACTTCGGTTGGTGAGTATGGGTCGGTGTTATAACACCAAAAAATTATCACTTCACATGTCATATTATCACCGTTGTAGAAAATGATGAAGACATCCACCACACCTATTTTCAGGGAAGAACTAATTTTTTTAGTTTTATTTTAATAAAAACTTAAGGTTAAAGGACCATTTTTTTGCTGGTTAGAGACTTTGAGCATACAACCAGCAACAACAAAGTGTTTTAAGGGGGTGGTGTGTCAATTGGATCCACACCATTGATGAGAGTTAGATCAACATTCCATCATCGTTAATGCACCCATACAAAAGAGTCTTCCAAAGACATCTTCTAGTACCAAACCTAGCATTTAGCTATATAATAGCCTCCGCCACCAACACAAAATCGTTTAAAAAAAACATACACGATGATATCCCTTCTTAAATTTCATCATAAATATTGTCCATACACAACATGGAGATATAAGGGCTAGAAGACACCCATTAATTATGAAGCTCATTCAATTTGAGAGTGTTTGTTCCGCCTACAATGGTTCAGACACATGTGATAGACCAAAGGGCTTGTAGCCCAGCGGTATCCGGTGTTGCCCTCCCTACTTGAGGTTGAGGGTTCAAGTCCTGTCGTGGACATAGGTGGATTTAAGGTGTAGTTTAGGAGTAGGTTAGATTTGCTGTTTCAAAAAAAAAAAAAAAACGACCAAACATAAGTATTGCGTATAACTCTAACATATAACTCCTTAAGATACTTCTAGCAAATCTCGTAGATCGTTTTTTTGGTATGCTAGAGTGAAAATCAAATTGTATGTAAAATATATACTTCTATAATTTAATACTGTATTTTGAAAACTATCGTTTAACTGTCCACGACATAACAATATATACCAATGACTCCTTGTGAAATTATTATATAGTTACCAATATTCTAAAAGTTACTTTAAATTGCTGCATCTTTATTCTTTGATTTATATGAAAATTTATAAAAATAGATTTTAAATATTAATTAAAAATATATATTAAAAAAATGCATGTATTTCGCCTTCAATCAAGTGCCAACATAAATCGACCACGTGTACACCTTTCTCTCATAGACAGAAGCACCTTCCGTGTCCATACTATGAATCTAATTTCCCTTATTAGCACCAAAAATAATACAATCAAAATTCTGAATAATTTAAACTGAATATTTTTTTATTATATTTTTTTTATCTTCTTATCGTCGTTTCTTCATTCTTCTTCGCCCCTCCCCCCATCTTCGCCGGAAAAAACCCAAATTATCTACCGGCGAGAAACCTTCACCACAGTTACCTTTAAACCCTTAAAAATGGCATCGTCAATCCCCTACCTTCCAGTAACGCCGCCACTCAATTCACACACAAACACTCCAATACACAACCCCCTCATCTTCTTCCCCAATCCCACAAATTCAATCTCGTTAAAACCCATCAATCAAAACCCTCGTTTTTCTTCTTCCGTAATTAGAAAATCCTCTTCTATCAGCGCCGGTGCTTCTGCGGCATCCGCATGCTCCACGTCGTACCCTTTTATAGGTAAAGTCGGGCTGCATAGACGAGAAGGCAACTTCATATTACTATCCTACGGCACGAACCCTAATACTGGATCCGTGATGGCCGTAAAAGCTGATGTTTCGCAAATTCTCTCGGCGATGCTTCCCTTTGTGGTGGCGCTCACCGCAATTGCCGCACTAACTCAACCGTTAACCTTCACCTGGTAATCATTTGTTTATTAATCACACACTTTTTATCTCTTTCCTTTATGTCAACTTAAAAAGGTTTTAGTATTTTTTTACATGAACCACTGACACTATCATGACGCTTAATAAATGTCAATAAAATACTACTTGTTTAATCCAGTTTTGAGGTTTATGTATTGGGGTTTTAACATTTGTTCTTCTGAGGTTTAATATTTGGGTTTTACCATATATTTTAATCGGAAATAATCTTTTTTTAGTTACTTCATGTAATGTTCTTGATTACAGGGTGTCAAAGGAACTCTATGCTCCTGCTCTTGGTGGAATCATGTTGTCAATTGGCATTAAGCTTTCAATCGAAGATTTCAAACTTGCGTTTAAGAGGTCAGTCTCTGCTTCCAATAACTAACAATTGTAAATCAATCCCGATTCCAAGTTTTGGATTTTGATTGTTTTCATCTGTGTTTGCAGACCTTTACCATTATCTATAGGGTTTCTTGCTCAATACGTATTGAAACCTGTTCTGGGTGTGTTTGTAGCAAGATCTTTCGGGATGTCTCCTATGTTCTATGCAGGATTTGTCTTGATGTCGTGTGTTGCAGGAGCTCAGTTGTCCAGCTATGCTAGCTTTTTAAGCAAAGGGGATGTGGCTTTAAGCATTCTCTTAACAAGTTCAAGTACTATGGCCTCTGTTCTTGTTACCCCTCTTTTAACTGGTCTTCTCATCGGATCAGTTGTCCCAGTGGACGCTATTGCAATGTCCAAATCAATCTTGCAGGTACTTAATACGTACATATTAATGAACATGATCCAATTTGATCTCCACGTGTTCTGATTTCCGAGTTTTTTCAGGTTGTTCTTCTTCCAGTTACACTTGGTTTAGTACTCAACACATACGCAAAACCAGTTGTATCTATCGTTCAACCTGCGATGCCATTTGTTGCTATGTTTTGTACTTCCATTTGTATTGGAAGCCCTCTGGCTATTAACCAGAGCCAAATTCTTTCTGCAGAAGGTCTCAAGTTGATTTGGCCTGTTTTGACATTTCACACTGCCGCATTTACCTTCGGTTATTGGATTTCCAAACTTCCCTTTTGTAGGTAAATAAATATACACGGCTGTTTCTTCTTTTTCCTGTATGGGTAAAGTGGCTGAATCAGCAATAATGTCTATCTGGATAAAGTGTTGTATCCATAAGGTCTGTTTCACGATATTCATCAATGTTTTTGTAGGCAAGAGGAAGATGTAAGCAGAACAATATCACTTTGCACGGGAATGCAAAGCTCCACACTGGCGGGGCTTCTTGCTACGCAATTCTTGGGGAGCACCCAAGCGGTCCCGCCAGCGTGTTCGGTTGTTGCAATGGCAATAATGGGACTCTGTCTGGCGTCCTTTTGGGGAAGTGGTTATCGAATCAGAGACTTACTGTATTATGTCATCCCACAAACGGATTCGAGTGTCAACCCATGAATGATTAAATGTGATTTTTAAATTTGAGTAACTTTTTTAGTGCGTCAATGGGAAGAGCTAAACACGGGGAGGATAGTGTCCCCTTTATATGGTCCAGATAGTAAGTAATTACATGATAGAAATTAGTTCAACGTATGACTCGTTTATAAGTAAATGTTGCCAAGGATGTGACACGATTTATTTAACTGTAGCTGTGTATAATAATAGTAATTATGTCTTACTTATGACAATAGTTCAAGATTTATTATATTTTACTTTCCTAGTTATCATTTTATCAAATGTTGGTATAAAAATGACACTAATCATTTTATCATCATTTTTTATTTTTTTAAAAAGTATTGGTC